GCTACGCAACCAAGACATGCCTAGAATCATGTCGAACTTGGTGTCGAGGATGTCAAAAGACACCGGCTCGCACGCAAGTGGCGCAGAGTATATCGGAACGCCGTCGACGCATCAAGCGATTGACTTTTGTGTGCGTCCGTCCGCAAGTGTAACTTGCGTGGGTTGCGTCTTCCTTCGAACGCGCGGGCCAAGGCCTGCGCGGGCCATAAAGGCTTGGCTAATGAAGTTGCGAGACGCTCCGCAATCAATCAAGGCACTACAGGTTGCCTTTCCGATTTGAATGCGGAGATAGAGCAAAGGCGCGTCGGTTTTGGCGTACTTTTGGGTGGCGTACTCGCGGTCAATCTTCGCAAGATAGGAGTGGAGATCGACAACCGCTATCCCGTCGTCCGTCAAAGGAGCTGGTACTGTAGTGTGCAAAAAGGAGCGTAAATCTGCCATCAAGGCGTTGCAATGCGGCCTTGGCAAGGTTCCGGTCGAGGGTAGAGGCATCCAAGCGAAGTCCTCTCTCGTGAGCGGGTCAAGCTCCTCATGTCTTGACCACGCCGTCGAGTCATCGGAAAACAGCGGCGAACTGACTGGATTACTTGCCGACGGTGTACAGGCTGCGCATACGCTAGCTAAATGCACGTGGCTTGGCTGGTCTAATGGTGGTACCAGCAGGGCGGCATAATTCTCATACGTAGCACGAGAATCAGCGACTAACGCATGCTCCCCGTTAGTGACATCGATTGCTAGCAAGGCAACCGGTTCCGGCGGAGTGAGGAGAGACGTCGCCCCTCTCCTTGCGTGACTCAGTTTCCCGAGTTTGCTGGAYKGAGTACGCGTGCCTTGCCCTTTTCGGGGCATTGTGCAGTCAAGTGTGTGACTCCATTGCACCAAAGGCAATATCTATACTTTTGACGAAGTTCATAGACTTCCTTGGTGATGTTGTAGGCCGTCCATGGCTGYTGCCYWGTTCCCGTCGATGCCGTCTCTTGTGTCGCCTTGGGTTTCYGGACCCTCTTAGGACGCTTCGGCGGGAGCGCTGCTACAATTCCTCCATCACTCGAGGATGCTGCTGCAGCGTGGAGATCGTCTGTTGCTTCAGAAATTACAGCATTGTTATGCGCCGGACGTTGATAGCCCTGCTTAGCCACATAATGCGGCTGGGATTGTTTCTCGTTAGCGGCATTGTCGTCCGTTTGGATGACCAGGTTTGCGCGATCCAGGATAGCCTGGAACGTGGTATAGCATACTCGTTACCGAGTGCCGACCGCAATCCCACACACGATCGCGAGAAGAACTCGGATCATTGATTAGGAAAAGTCAAGTCGAAGCCTGGCGTGGACACTATCTTCTGCCACTTGGTTGTCCAGTCTTGAGTTGGCATACTTCCTTGAGAGCAGGTGTACACCACGTTCATGGCCGCCTTCACGACGTTGCGGACCATGAACCGGGTGAACCATCGCTGCTCGAACTCCTTCAACGTGATGTGCGTGTGAAGGTCGGCGATGGTGCATGTGTGGGTAGCCGCCACGTGGTTCATCCATGCCTGCGCTCCTCCAATGAGCTGTAAGTATAGCGCCTTCATCATGTAGTCGTCTGGGACAGTGCGGCAGGATGTTTCCGTAAGGAAACGTTGCCACCATGCCAAGGCGTCCGTCTTGTTGTGGTCGTCGAACTTGCTGATGTCGAAGTGTGGCATCTTGTAACTCTTCGTAGCAGCGTCCGGTTTCGTCTGCAGCTTGGTGATGTTCGTCTTAATGGAGGCCACCGTGCTACTGATCGTGTCTGGCCCATTGAAGACACCTATGTCGCCGATGCGATTGACGACATGATCGATGCGCCCATTGAGCTGCTTCGTCATGTCTGTCATATCTGGCGTGCAGCCTGGCGCTGCTTGGGGAGGCCTTGCCTCCAAGGTAGCAATGCGTGCATCCAGCTGTTTCAACTGGTTGTGGCTCAGATCGTGCTGCAGTTGCAGTGTGGACCGGGAATGCAGCTCCCCCATGGAGCTGCTCCAAATGACGGTGCGCATTGTATGGAGTAGAATATCTGCCAGGTCTTGCCTCTCTTGCTGTACTGTTGTCGGCTCGCTGCCGGGTATCGGGACATAACGCATCCCGTTGAGCACCGCTGTCCATTGTGCTTGGTTAGCACTTACAAGTTCAGCGCTGCCGGCGTTGAGCTGATCGATCGCCAACTGGTCTGCCTCGGCTTGACGCTGGGTTTGTGCTGCAGCTTCCTCTGCTAGCCGTAGTCTTTCGGCTGCGGCAGCCTCTTGCTGTTCCTTGACCTGGGTGAGTGCGGCAGTATAGTCCTGCATTCGCTGAATGAAGTCCGGGAGGGGCTCATTCGACTCTCGCACCGGACAGACCGGTAAGGGTTCGGCATTACTAGCTGTCGAACACTCGGATGATGATCCGCTGCGTGGCGTGTTCGCCATCTGAGTACTGGTCTGTGGCGGCTGTAGAACTGTAGGTTGCTGTTGCTGTTGCTGTTGGCAATCGGCGATCCGCTTGCTGCGTCATGGCTGTTGTTGGGAGGCTGGCCCTGCTGGCATCAGGAACTGTTGCGGAAGGCTGGCTCGTCCAGAGGATCGCAGAACAGTGTGAGGGAGAGGGTGGGCACAGGGATAGAACAGATCAAGCAATATACATGTAGTCCCTGTCCCAAGGATGGACTAAGACACCTAATCAAACAGAAAAATAAATTTTCCCATAAATAATTCCAAAATCGTAATAAGAAGAATTAAAAACGAATTATTTAATCAATAAAATTAATTAATGATAAATAACGAAATACTTCTTAGTGATAATCAATAAAACAATGTTTGTAATAAAGATAATCAATAACCAATATTTGCAATAAAGATAATCAATAAACAATAATTGCAATCATGATAATGAACGAATTTGAATTGTATTATGATTAGGTCTCTTTGAGATCAATTATGGTCCGGGAGTTCACCGTTAATGAGTGAACTACCCGGAAGTTGCAACTTGAGGGTTAGATTCGGAGTAGTTTGCCAGAAACATTTTCGGAAAAAGTCAGGGGAAAAACACTCGAAATTTCAAAAACGTGAATTTTTGGGAATTTCCACCGTCAAAATCCGATTTTTAAAGGCCTAACCCCGTTTTCGGAATTTCTCAAAACAAAGGAACGAAAAAAAATTCCGCGAAAATTTCGGGCCCAACCCTCATTTCCGCGTTTCAGCGGAATTTCCGGTTTTACGGTTCCCAAAACGTTTGAATTTCCCAAGTTGCGCGAAAAACCAAAATTTTCGTAACCCTAATAAGAAAAAAAAAAAAACAATTTTGCAACTTTGAACTCGATAGTAATATAGAGCTGATTCGGAAGATTAAAGAACAATCTAATTCCTAATCAGACTTACCTTTGTGAGCAGATCCGTTAATATGGTCTGCTCCGATACCAAAACTGTTACATACTTCAACGAGTACGGGCAGAACCAAAGATCAACCAGTGTAGGATGAGCATATATGCAGCGGAAGTCTGATAAACGGACTGACTCACATAGAATCACTCCACACACAGAGAGGTGGGAGGAGAGACGAAGAGGAAGGGAGATGTAGGTAGCACCAAATGTCACCAAGATAGAAAACAGTAGGTCACCGATATAGTAACCCAAAATGTCATCGAACAAATGTCGAGGACAATAACTCACCAATGTCGGAGATACAGAGTCCTAATGTAACCGGTGTCAAATCTGTGGTGCAGCCGAGTATCATCCCCAACAATCTCCAAGTCTCGAATCCGGTAAGTACCACAGCCTCTTACCACCGAAGTCCAACTCTGATCTCTGTCCAACTAGTATAAGTCTCCAATCTGAAGAAGAAGAAGAAGAAGAAGAAGAAGAAGAAGAAGAAGAAGATGAAGTCTGAAGAGAAGGCGAAGAAGAAGAAGAAGAGAGAGTCGAGGAGGAGAGAGAGAGAGAGAGAGAGAGAGAGAGAGAGAGAGAGAGAGAGAGAGGGGACTGACGATGGGAGGGAGGAGAGAACCTCCGGCTCCCTGATACCTCAGGCGGCGATGGCCGCCGATCTGGCTCAGTCGCCCCGCTGCTGCTCCGCTCGCTGCTGCTGCGCTAATGCTGCGCTGATGCTGCGCTGATGCTGCCTGCTCCTCGCTCCTGTGCTAAGATTAGCGCTCAAACAGGGCTCTGGCGGCGACCTTACCACACCGCATAGACTGCCGGTGGGTCGATAGCCTCACTGAGGCTGGACCGGTACTTTTGTACCCGTGGGCAGAGGTCGGCCTCTATGCTGCGAGGCCTGACCGTGCCCTGAACCGTCCAGATGGACGGCTTAGCCCCATCCGGCGGGCGGCAGCCTCGAGAGCGCCGCCAGGCCCAAACGGTAATATCGTTTGGGCCGGCCCGTCGGGTCTGGTATAAGGTAAGGAAGGCCTTTACGGCCTGTAGTACCCCCAAAGGTCGGGCCTTTGGCCCTACTGTGTCCCTCTTTCCCTACGTCGGGTCCGGTAGGACCCTGTGGCGTCGAAGATGTAACATTCCCTGTCAAAGCCACAACATTCCCTTGCTTGTATGAGCTCGCACATGTGTGTGTGTGTGCTTGTGTGTATGTGTGTGTGTTTGTGTGTGATCTTCCGTCAAATCTAGGCTGGACTTGAGCTGCAGATAATAATTGTCGAACGATCTTTCATCATTAGCAGTAATTTTCAATCATGTATGTCAAGCGACTTACTCAGACTTGTACAGTCCAGGCCCGAGCACCTCGTCACATGCATTGGTCAAAGGCCTTCAAGAAGAATCCATCGAATCTGTTTACATTTTGGTAACGTGATTATTCATGCTATCAAGTCGCAACTGTCGCATATATTCGTTAATACTTGAAATTTCGAAATAATATAGAGGAGGGAAAAAAGAAAAAAAAAAGAAAGAGCGCAGACTCTATGTCTGTTGTTTAGAAAATCACTGTTCATGCAGTTCCAGATCTTCAAGGCATGCGACACCACCTAATATCTTACGCAAAGGGTTCCCACCAGGAGTTTGGACCTTCTTGTAGACTGATATCCCAAGGACTGTCGAATGGACAAAGTGCTAAGGACGTGCAACGGTGCCAGTTACAGCGCTTGCAGCCCATAATCTCTCTCTCTCTCTCTCGCTCTCTCTCTCTCTCTCTCTCTCTCTCTCTCTCTCTCTCTCTCTCTCTCTCTCTCTCTCTCT